ATAGTATCAATTAAACTGATAAGATGCCGAGGAAGTCAATTTGACATCAAAGAAACATCACCATGGCAAAGCACAACAGCATGCCGGCCAGTTCACTGCAATTATGAAAATCAAAATATTATATTATTACAAGCAACAGTTATGCAAAAAGCAGCAATCACTACCACCACAGTGGGTGTCCACTATGAACTCCAAACAGCAGTTAAAACTGTGCAGAATTAATGACAAAGATGAAGTCTCATTCTCAGTCACAATCCACGATGACCTCAGCTTCTGTGTATCACTGTTTAATCGTCCCATTCACATAGACACTGTGGCACAATATGACAAAATTTGCAGCACAGAGACGATTTTCACCATTATTAACACAATTGAAAAAGTCAGTATCTGTGAGGGAAACCCAGAGGATAAATTCATTGAATTGGCTTTTAAAAGAAATGGGAAGTTCCTTAATAATCAAGGTAACTACAAAATAATTATAACTTAATGTCACCATTTAAACTATAACTTTAGGTGCTGAAGTAGCATCAATAGATTATAAGCCACTTCCAACTGTACGTCATATTAACTGTCTACTCATTACATCATCTGCAAACAGCATCAGATGTACCTCATGCACAATGCATCGCAGAAGTCTCTTCTCTCTATTGTCAGTATTAACTGTTCCAAAAAGTTCAACAATATCAAAATTTACCAACAACAGATACATAGGCAACCAAACAAAAAATTCAATGGTTAGCCTTCGATCTCAAAATACAATAGCTCAAAGAGAAATCACATCTTTGAAAGCAACAATAGAAGAAAAAAATGCACGGATTGCACACCTGAAAAAAATGATAGAACATGATGACCACTCAGTAACAGTAAATCAGAACACTCATCAAGACTTGTTCAGCATAATGCAGCACCACCACAATGAAATAACAAAAGCGTTTCCAGAAGATAGCTTCCCATATATATTCTGGATGAGCCAATACAAAGCTGCTACACGAAGTGCCTCGCCTACAGGGATGCGTTGGAATCCAGCAATGATTAGATGGTGTGTTTACCTGCAACAAAAATCTTCGACAGCTTATGAATTGCTAAGAAAATCAAAATGCTTACACTTACCATCTCAACGCACGCTCCGTGAATATATTCACCACAATAAACCAGGAATTGGTTTTTCGAATGAGCTTGACGAGCAACTCGTACTGGATTCCAAGCTACAATCATTGGAGAGCCATCAGAAGTATGTAGGCATCATCGCCGATGAGATGTACATCAAACAGGGGCTTGTGTACGATAAAACAACTGGTGACTTAGTGGGGTACTGCAGAATTGGAGAGATCAACGACCACCTGTTACAGCTAGAAAGAGAGTACACAGAAAGCAATGGAGATGCAGCTAATAATACACATACATTAGCTAAGACAATGCTTGTTTTAATGATAAGAGGCCTCTTCACCAGTCTCACTTTCCCTTATGCTTCGTTTGCCACATCAAATTTAACGGGAGAACAAATGGTACCAATATTCTATGAGGGAATAATGAGAATAGAGAGATGTGGCTTTAAAGTATTGACCATCACACTCGATGGCTGCTCTGTGAATCGAAAATTCATGCAAATTGTATCTAATCCTGATACAACTGTACCTCATAAATTTAAGAATCCGTTGAGCAACAACAGCCGCGAAATCTTTCTTTTCTCCGACCCTTCTCATCTCATTAAAACTGCCCGCAACTGCCTTGCAAATCAGTCAAGAAACATGCAGGTAATAAAAATTATACATACAGCTGTACATGAATAAAAATTATTATACATTGTACTTTACATAGTACAATGGAAATCCCATTAGCTGGAAGTTTATAGTAAAGCTGTATCATATCATAACAGAATCCACAGGCCTCACAGTACTACCTAAGATCAAATATGAGCATGTTTTCCTGACAAACTTCTCCAAAATGAGAGTTGATCTAGCAGCTCAAGTTAGTTGAAAATACACTGTACATGCATGTAGATAAGTTTACTCATCCTTTTATTATAAAGGTTCTCAGTCAAAGTGTTGCAACAGCTCTTAGGACATACCTAAAGGGAGAATCAGAAGAAACAGCAAAATATATAGAAATGTTTGATAGAATTTTTGATAGCCTCAATGTCACAAATTACACAACATGCTACACCAAAAGGAAGTACTTTCAGTCACCATATAGATGGAATAATGACTTGAGGATTAAGGTATATAAAATATATGCATAAAATTTGTATTTCAAGAAGAAACCCACTTAGTGGATGCAGTTTGAATTCCTACCATGGTTAAAAAACTGGGAGGACCAAGTTAAATCAAAAGAGGACTTAAAGGCGAGGGAGAAAAATAATCTAATTATAAGTCAGGAAACATTACTGGGAATCAGAATAACTGGTAAAAATAATTGATTAATTCATAAATTACCATAATTTTACTTTCACAATAGCTTACTCTTTCATTGATTTGCTGAAATGTATCTTTACTATTCCTGGAGTTAAGCCTTTTCTAAGTTAGCACATATCTCAGGATTCATTAGAAAAGTATTTTGGAAGGCAAAGGCAGAGAGGCTGTGTCAACAAAAATCCATCTTGCCATCAATTTTCTCAGAACAGCAATGCCCTTAGAATGGTCAACACCATTAAGATTGATACTCACAGGGGCAATGTCCATACAAGAAGTGAGTTCAAGGATTTGCCAATGATATCAACAGAACCACCACCAAAAAGAAAAAGGACCACACTACAATCTCAAGTTTCAAAAACAACTATTAAAACAAAAGTCACAATATTAAGTGAGATAATATACATGTACACGTGGTATTTAAAGTTTAACCAATAATTATAGGTATAGTCACAAATGCTATAAAAGACAAGGGGTTTAGCATTTCTTCTGCTGAAGCACGTCATGCTAAACTTGCTGAAGAAATGAATGAGTGGCTATTGAAAGATGATGCAGAAAAATATGACCTATTTCTTCAGAGTCTGTTTAATCTTTGGATTACATCTGTGCCTCCAAGCAACAGTAAAATACGTGAAGCTATATGGATCTGCTTCTCACTATATACATCATCATCTGAATATAGAAATTTTTGGTCATGTCTATACACAGATGCAAAAATAGAAGGATCAAATATTCTCTCATTTTATCTCATATTCTTCTACTTCACTCACCATTGGATTGAAGTCTATCCTACAAGAAGCTCTCCATACATTGTTGACAAAATGTCTCACTTGTCTCCCGATGAAGAAAATGCTCTGTGGTACGTTGGTGGCTACATTATTAGGAAAATAAGAAATAAATTATTGAAAATACAAGATATCCTAAATACCTTCATCAAAAACTATGATCAGAATCACAACACCACAGCACAGGACACCTCAACAGAATTAGAGAATGAATGGTTTAATGCCATTAATCGAGGGGGTCTCATCAATTGCACAAATGGTTTTTATTGATTCCTGAGAGCCTTGGAGACAAAAATACAAACATATCTGAACACCATGCCAGCAAGAGACACCACACACTCATTAGGCCAGCCAAAAGAAGTGGCATTGAAGATTATCAAGCCTAGAGTGTCTGATGCTTGGAAAACGCTGTTAATAGAGGTCGAAGCTCAACAGGAAGCGACTCCAAGCAGTACCACCGATATTGCTCTCACAGAAATTATGGAACTGTATTTGAGAATTAGGTTTTTAGCCTTTGTTGACAGAATTAAAGATGGAGCATTTTAAAAAAGAGAAGGAAGGGCAGCTACAAAAAGCAAAGAGTTTAAGATCTAAGCTAAATGTTCAATGATAAAGACTATACCTCATGCTACAGCTTCAAGCCACAAACTGTCCACATATATATAACTGTCATTGTGATTCTTTCTCTGTCTTCGCCTGACTAGTCTTGCATGCACTTTATCTCTACCCCTAATAGCTATTATCAAGTGTCGTAGACTCTTTGGCTCTCTCTTAATCCAACCGACTCACATGTTGATTCGTATAGGTGGTACCATCTATGAATAATAATTATTTCAAATAAATAATTATTTCACATAATAATTAGAATTATTGCGGAATAATAGTAACCAGGGGTAACAAAAACTGCATCGCCGGGTGGGAACGGTTGTTTCCAATCCCTTTCATTTACTCTACTATCTATGGTCTAAGACAGTTTGTATGCTCCTTCAAATTACACTAACTATTGCTGTTACAAGTAAAAAGATTTTTTTCAATATGGGACTAGATTAAGAACAAGAATGACAGACGATAAGCTGTCAGATCTTTCTATTGCCAAGGAAGTAGCTTAGGAACTACAAGATGACAGCATAATTGATGAGTTTGCTACTACCAATAAGAATAGGCATAAATATTGTTTTGTTCTAAAAATAATTATTTAATCAGTGTGCACACTTAAACTATTGACCACAACATTAATGAATAGTTTATTGGCCCCTGAAGCCTAGATCCACCCCTGCCACACATATGTTGTATGTACACGGTAAATGAATGATACTTAAAATTTTATAAATCTTACTCAATTTTGTAGCCTACCCTAAATATTCATTATTACTGTGCATCAGTCTATTAAGTTATAGTACAAAACAATAAATATCAAACATGGCATGTTGTAAATTTTTCTTATTTAATTTTTCTGATGCATGCAAACTGAATCGGACTTTGCTGATTAAAAAGGACATTGTAGAGATCCAGTCGCATCACTCCTCTCTAGATAGCACTGCTTTATGTGCCTAGCCAGTCCTTTCTTATCAGCATAGAATAATTCACAATAAGAACAATTTATTCTTGATTGACGTGAAGAATCCTCTATAGAATTAGCAGCCATGATCATAGATCCAAGTGGTATCCATGCAGCCACAGCCGCAGTTTCTATGGCAGTGCCTGGGTAGCCGACCGGCCCAGTGCGCCCATATGAGATGGGACTAGAATTGATTGATCGACAGCGCAGGCACATGACCACCACGGAGGGACGAGACTCTATCATCGCCAGTGAATAAATAGTAAGCAAGAAACCATCTCTAATTCTGAATTCTCCATCATGTTACTGACATGTATTTGTTTAGATAGCAAAAACTAAATACTCTAGAGAAAGAACAGATCAAATAAGTAATATAATTCGGCAACTTTCCAAACAAAGGAAATCAAAAATCTTAATGGTTAAATCTTTAAAAGCCCAATTAGTAAATATGGTACACGTGTATTGCTACGACTATTGTGAATATAATTTTTGTATAGGAAGTGGACACTGGAGTTGCTCTTCACCGAAATGATCTTTTCAAA